CTGACCCATCACTAGAACTAGAAGATCGATTTTTCTTATTCTGCTCACAGAGTTGCCGACTCTGTTCAGATGCCCAAAATCTGTTAATTGCCGCCCAATTATCAGCTGTAAAGAAAGATGGCTTCACTTGCTTGATCTTCGCTCTATTCATGACATTTCGCATAAAATCACCGTTTTTCTTATCGAAAATTCTTCTCACTTCATTGTCTTCCGCTTCCTCCCACTTGAACTTCCGCTGCAATGAATAAAAACACAAATTGAAAGTTATTATGATGATCACATATCCATAACCATGCACCAGACAAATATAGACAGATTTTGTAAAGTTCATGTCGGGGAAAATATCTGGTCCTTTAGGTATCGAAAACTACAGAGTTGTTCTGGTCCCTTTACATCATTCTTGACCATCAATATACTACACCAAACTTAATTGGTGAGAAAATAAAATATGTAAAACTTACCTTGAACTCATTCCACCACATTTCTTTCACTTCTTGTGGAACACTTCTGTAAGTAATATACTCTCCCATCCAAAAGTTTCTTACTATTTTGTTCAATTCCCTCACAAAAGACGGAGCATCCGTGAATCTGCAATCATACAGATATTGTGCAACATCGACAATTCAGTTGACATCAATATCTAAAGCCCTAAATATTACATATACTAAAATAAAAATGAAGTACTTACGAATCTCCAAATGGGCATATGAAGAATCGATTATCTTCTTGACCTGTGTTTCCGTCAATATTCGATTGTTCCGCCGAATAATGAGGTGGAACGGAAGGAGAGGGAGCTAAAGGAGATTGAACTGGAGGAGATTCAGTTCGCATGTGGCCAAGTCCCGTAGCATGTTGTTGAGTGTTGGAGGAAGGGCCAACGTGTCCATATTGTGACGGACCATATTGTGGTTGAGGGTTAGTGTGACATTCTGAATTTCGACCCACTTTCGGGATTTATGAAATGATATTATCATCAATGCACTTTCTGTTATATCTCACTCGGAATTGGCCATTCTTGAGAATACTAACCGTTAGGGAATGGCTAGTTAGGATTTTGATACGCACGACCCAAGAACTCGAACCTGGATCGATACTTCGGACCATTTTAGGCAGATCCAAGAATGATTAAGGAACAATTTAACAATGTTATACAATTGAGTCACGGGTGATGCCGTTTAATCACTGTATGCATTCCAAACGTTCCAAAATCAATTTCTAACGATCGTGTCGTTCGGAACTAGTGATTGACCCTCGTAATTACATGACAACCGAAGTCACCATGGCTCGAGTAAACTTAAACGTGGATTGATATCAAATCAACCACGGGTCGACACGCGTAAACCCTAAAAGCCGCCCGTTAGTTTGAGATACACGAAAGTTGCGTTTGAGCGATTTTGACCACGAATTGGAATCCGAACTTGGGTATCGAACTTTCAAGGATATCAAAATTATTATATTGGACGACGCCGCATTAAGCTCGCTTTATTATCGGTTTGCTCAGAAATTCGCGAAAACGGGAAATTAGGCTCGGAAATTAGAAAAGACGATTTTACCCCTGTGTGTTCTAGAATTTATTTGTTGAGTGGAAGGACTTATTGGTATTTTTACCCTAGTGACCGAAAATCTTCATGGACAACTTTGCCCTTGCCTTTTTGGTTAATTACAAAAATGCCCTTCTAGAAGCCTTTTGTCAAGATGCATTTCTAGCCCTTAGATCAATACTTGGGCATCAAGGACTCATCCTAGCCCTCCATTTTGGTGAGATATGTTCAGCTCACACACTCTCTCTCCTCACTTTTCCCTTGCTCTCTCTCTCTCTTCATTTTTCTCTCTCTCTTCCTCTCTCTTGGCCGAGACACTCCCCACCACCGTCCACCACCCATCAGCCCCTCACGCCACCACCTTGGACCACCGTGGACCACCGTGAGCTGCCCGCAAGCCGCCGTTCACACCCGGAGCAGCCGCCGTTCGCCGGATCGCCGTTTGGGCCGCCGCCGTTCTCCGGAGCTCTTGGCTTGGCCGGGACTGGTGCTGCTGGGTTTAGCTTGATTCTTAGCTTATATTAGTGGTAAGTAACTCCCTAAACCTTGATTAGGTTAGTAGGTTATCAATGGATAGTGTTTAGGGGTTGTTAGGGTAATTTAGGGGTTATTTTAGGGGTTAATTTAGGGGTTATGGCATAAGCTGAATTGAGAAATTGTTGGTGGATGGATTTGATAATTATGTGGCTGTTTTGAATGTTAAGATAGGTAGATTATGTTATTTGAGCTTGATCATATGTTTAATGTTGCTAATTGTGCTTAATTTGGCTAATTATGGTTGTTTAGTGATTGTTTTAATTAAATTCGTGGGTTAGTCTTGTGGCTGCAATAATCATGTGGTAGTGGCTGAATTGGATGACTTGGACTTTGATCATATGGCCCCCATTGGTTCTAGAATGGTTAAGGTTAATTTTAGGGCTTAATTATCATGATTATGTGCTAATTTTGATCCTACGGTTTAGATTAAATTAAGATGTGATAAAAGTTAATCATATGGCTTATTAGAGATTTGAGATTGATCGGGTGACTTTGATTGGCAATCGCATGGCTAATTAGTCGATTATGTGTCGATTAAAGGTTTAATGACGATCGTGTGGTGGATTAGTTGTTTAAAATTGATCGCATGGTTAATTGGTTTGATCGTATGGTTAATTTATTTAATCATGGCTGATTAGTTGACTATGTCTTGATCGTATAGTTTGATGATGATTTCGTGGCCTAGAACGAAGATCGTGTGGTTAATTATGGCTATTGTTGGCTTGGCATGGCGTATCGTGATCATATATCGATGTTTGATGCGAAAACGAGTGCGATTCATGGCATATTTATTCGTAGTACATTGCACGTCATAAACACTTGCATTGGCTAATTAAGAAAGATTAAAATTGGCAATGCGTGGTTATTTACGTGTGTGACCATGATAAGTTCCGTCTAAGACGAGTTCTAGACGATGCCCGGCGGAAGTTCGGATGTTTGTCAGTACCCGACTTGTCGAGGGGTTCGATCCCGAGACATTGCCGATCGCGGTGGAGGCCGGATCGATGCTCCTAAATGGGATGCCGTCCGGTACCCGACTTGTCGGGGGGTTCGATCCGGGCGTTGCCACGCCCAAAGTAGTGGGGTGATGCCGGCTATGCCTGGAAGACCGGCGGGAGTTCGGTGTGACCTATGGTGGGTCGTTAATAATCTGGACAACTTCGAGTGTTATGTGCATATGGTATGCTTGAGCTTTATTATAGGATAAAATCGTGAGGCACGGTATGGGACGGGCGAAGTGATTTCATCTTATAATCGAGACTCGTGTGAATGATTGATTATGTCGGATTATTATTATTGATGTTATGCATATTGATAGTTGCCATGGTTGTGATACAAATTGAGACTTGCATAGTATGTGGTACCATTGTCCGTTGGATAGGAACTTAACCTTTTGGTTAGAATGGCATGATTAGGGTGCCGGAGGTACGTATTGCCCTAGTCGAGGCTTAGGCGGTTTACTTATTGAGATTTAACTCATTCCCGTTGTTAAACATTTTCGGACCCTCGACCTTGATTATGACCGAGCCTCAAGCTCGTTTCGGGTACCAACGGAGATGGAGCATTGGGTGCCGAGTACCCGAGTAGGAGAGGGTAGGGAGTATCGGAAGTATGAGAGCACGGTTTGGGTCGACGATGGGAGCGATACTTGACGGCTCATAAGTACATGGCTTGGTTTCGAGAGACGGAGCTCAGAATATTGGTCCTCTCGAGGGGTTTGATGTTCCCCATGACGATGGTTTAGGATTATGGGATCTTATGGAGATTGATCCCCACGACGGAACTGTAGTTAATCCGGGCCGAACCGATGGTGACCAGCCTCCAGGCGTGGGTCGAGTGGCGTAACCCGAATGGGAGTCCTTGCCGTCCGGCTCTTATAGTGAGGCATCTGATCCGGCTTCGCCAGGAGCACCGCCAGGATGTTGTGGAGGTTTTTGATAGGGTTAGAGATCCCTATCTTTTTGGGAGCTCCTCTTTTGAATAGAGTAGTGGAGCGGATCGACCACCCTATCCCTTTTTGAGTATGCGTGGTCTCAGGTTTGTGGCCTTTAGGAAGGCTTGTATATTCTATCGATGTATGTGATGTTAAGTTTATAAAATAGTTCGTTGGTTTGTTTAAATTCTCTCTCTGTTATCCCGTTTGAATGTTCGTTGAATGGAGTGTTCGTTTGGCTTCCGCGTATTTTCTCTTATTTCGATGGTAACGGGTCCGGCGACGAATCCTGGGAGTCGCATTCTTAACGACCGCGGCGGGATGTTACGTGTTCGTAGGGTACGGGGCGTGACATCCCCGTTTAAGTGGTATCAGAGCAAGGTTAGCTCGATCCATGTTTGGTCGAGACTTGGAGTGATAAGGAGCGATGATTTTGGGGTAGCTGGTTAGAGAGACTTGCCTTGATCACAAGTTTGTGACGCTTTGTGCGTGCTTTGAGAATATGTGCTTGTGATTGGTAGGCTTGAATTTGCATCATACTGTTATCTGCTTATGAGTGCTGAGTGGTTTAGTGCTATTACTAACGTTACAGGCGCTCTAAGGTAAGATCTATACTCTTGCTAAGTGTGTACTTATGATGCTTATTTGGGGTGATTGCTTGCTTACAATTGCTTGCTGTAGTTCGTTGCCTAGAACTGCTTAAGCCGAGTAGTTGATTTAAGTCTTTGATTCCATGGTGGAATTATAGCGAGGCTTAGGTGTTTGGAGTGATTTACGTGAGGATGAACACCCGGGGTAGAGGAACCAGAGGTGCATCGAGTTCGCGAGCTAGAAACGGCGAGAGATCCTAGAGTTGATGGGGTTTTAAGGGCTCTAGAGGCGATTGGACGGTTAATAGGCTTGCAGACTCAAGAACGAATCTGCTGCTTCTGCTGCTGCTGGCTGCTGTTTGCCGAAGCTGCTTGCCGCCTGCACGAAATAATCCGGGAATGGAAATGGAAATGAGAATCGCCAAATGCACAAGTTGGTGGAGCGAGTTCTTGAAACTTAAGCCATCAAAGTTCGACGGGAAAGGTGATCCCGAGGCCGCTCACTGGGTTGAGGAATTGGAAAAGGCCTTTGCACTTAAAGGGTGCACGGAGGAGGAAAAGGTGACTTTGGGCGTGTATCAACTTCAAGATAATGCTAATGATTGGTGGAAGGCCACTCGAGAAAGAATTTTCCCAGTGGGCACTGTGCCGAATTGGACCGGCTTCGTCGATGCCTTTAATGGAAAGTACTTTTCTGAGAGTGCTCAAGAACAGAAGATGGCAGAATTCTTACGGCTTCGCCAGAATCAAATGATGGTGGATCAGTATGAGGCGGAATTTGCTAGGTTATCGAAGTTTGCACCGAGGATGGTCGAGAATCCTTTGGATAAGGCAAGAAGGTTTCGAGATGGTTTAAAGCCGGAACTTCGCACCGATCGATACCCCCGAACCTTAGGGATTACAACGAGCTTTATGAGCGGGCTCAGATGATTGAGAGAGATATGACCGAGAGGAATGCCGCATCTGGATCGCGGTTTATACCGGTTAGGGATAATCGTAACTTTGGAAAGAAACCTATGAATGGGAATAAGCGATTTGTCCCTCCTGTTAAAAAGAATATCGTAAAGCCGACCTACTATTCTGGAACTCCGTGTCGATTTTGCGGAAGAAGGCATGGGAATGGCCCTTGCCCCAGCGAGAATGGAACTTGCTTTGGATGTGGCCAGCATGGTCACCAAGTGAAGGATTGCCCGAATCGACAAGTTAGGTCGCCATTTCAACCACAACAACCTCGGATGGGGAATCAGTGGAACCGCTCCGCGAAATAATCGAGAATCGACCCCAAGCAAGGAAGAGTTTATGCTATGGCTCGCAAAGAGGCGGAGGATGCGCCCTGGCGTGGTCACAGTGTACGGTTTCTTTATGTGATCATCTGCTTATGCCTTGTTTGATCCGGGAGCATCGCATTCATTTGTGTCAGAACAATTTGTTAGATTGACTGGGATTGAACCGAAACCGTTAGAAGTAATGTTGCATGTTACTACTCCTCTAAAGGATAAAGTGCTAATCTCAGTAGGATGCTCGAACTGTAAGATAGTCATTGGTGGTAGAGAGGAATTAATTGATTTGGTGGTGTTGGCTATGTTTGATTTTGACGTCATTATCGGTATGGATTGGCTAGTAAAACAAAGGGCCGTGATGGACTGTAGTAGAAGGGTGATCCAATTTAATCCTGTTGGTCATCCTCGATATGAATTTGTTGGAAACCGAGGAGGAACCTCGATTCCTTGGATTTCGTCGCTTGAGGTGACTAAGCTGTTGGATGAAGGATGCCAAGGTTACCTAGCGACTGTTTTTGACTCATTGGGCGATGAGCCAAGGCTAGAGGACATAGCCGAGGTGTGTAACTTTCCCGATGTCTTTCCTAAGGAATTGCTGGGATTACCACCGAAAGGGAAGTGGAGTTTGTAATTGAGTTGGCCCACGGGACGGAGCCAATCTCTAGAGTACCCTACAGAATGGCCTTATCAGAATTGAAGGAGTTAAAAGTTCAGATGCAAGAGCTGCTAGACAAGGGATTCATTCGTCCAAGTGCGTCACCGTGGGGAGCACCGGTGTTGTTCGTCAGAAAGAAAGATGGTTCGTTGCGTTTGTGCATCGACTATCGGCAGTTGAATCAAGTGACCATCAAGAACAAGTATCCATTACCAAGAATAGATGACTTGTTTGATCAACTGCAAGGGGCTTCGGTATTTTCCAAGATAGACTTAAGAACGGGCTACCATCAGTTAAGGATTAAAAAGGAGGATATACCGAAGACGGCATTTCGTACAAGATATGGACATTACGAGTTTACGGTTATGCCGTTCGGATTGACTAATGCCCCAGCTGCTTTTATGGATTTGATGAATCGGGTATTCAAGGAATTCTTGGATTTATTCGTTATAGTGTTCATCGACGACATATTGATATACTCGAAAAGTCCCGAGGAGCATGAGCAACATTTAAGAATGGTTCTACGGACCTTAAGAGAACACGCACTTTACGCTAAGTTTAGTAAGTGTGAGTTAAGGCTGAATCGTGTAGCATTTCTTGGACATGTGATCTCTCGGGGATGGAATCTCGGTGGATCCAACTAAGATTGAGGCGGTTATGAATTGGCCGAGACCTACGACAGTGACGAAGTTCGGAGTTTTCTAGGACTAGGCGGCTATTATAGAAGATTCGTGGAAAGGTTCTCCGCGATAGCCACTCCTTTGACTCGCTTACTAAAGAAGGAAACAAAGTTCGAATGGACGGATAAGTGCGAGAGAAGTTTCCAAGAGCTTAAGCATAAGTTGACTACCGCACCAGTATTGATAATACCCTCAGGTCCTGGAGGATACGAGATTTATAGTGATGCGTCGCTGAAGGGATTAGGATGTGTTTTAATGCAACATGGAAGAGTCGTTGCATACGCATCGCGATAGTTGAGACCTCACGAAATGAACTACCCGACACATGATTTAGAACTTGCGGCCATCATCTTTGCACTTAAAATTTGGAGGCATTATTTATGTGGAGAAAGGTTTCAAATCTACACGGATCATCAGAGTTTGAAATATTTGTTTTCTCAGAAAGAATTGAATATGAGACAACGCCGATGGATGGAACTTCTAAACGATTACGACTGTGACATCTTATACCACCCGGGAAAGGCTAACAAAGTAGCGGATGCACTTAGTCGGAAATCGAGCATCGCGCATTTGATGATTAAAGAGTGGACTTTACTCGAGGGAGTACGGGATTCTGAATTTAAGTTTGAGGTGGGTCACCTCTCAAGCTTGTTAGCCACTTTAAGGATTGAACCAGAAATTCAGGCTAAAATTAAGGCATTACAATCTACGGACCCCGATATTCAAAAGATTCTGCAAATGGACGAAACTAAGAGAAAGGTTGACTTTCAAGTATCCGAGGACGGAATCTTGAAGTTTCGTGGACGTTTGTGTGTGCCCGATGACGTAGAGCTTAAGGAAGAAATCTTGGCAGAAGCTCACCGTAGCAACTATAGCATTCATCCGGGTAGCACAAAAATGTATCAAAATTTGCGCCAAGACTCTTGGTGGAACGGAATGAAAGTGGATGTAGCCAAGCATGTGGCCCGGTGTTTGACGTGCCAACAAGTAAAGGCGCAGCATTGTAAGCCCTATGGACAGTGCAACCTTTGGAAATTCCAGAGTGGAAATGGGAGCATGTTACCATGGACTTCGTTATGGGATTACCAAGGAGCCGAGAGGTCACGATTCCATTTGGGTTATCGTCGACAGATTGACTAAGTCGGCACATTTTCTGGCAGTGCGAAAGGATTTCGCAATGGATAAGTATGCCGAGCTGTATATGCGACAGATAGTCCGTCTTCATGGAGTACCAGTAACTATTACGTCGGACAGAGACCCTAAGTTTACCGCAACCTTTTGGAAGAGTCTTGAGGCGGCTATGGGAACGAAGTTACAGTATAGTCTGACATATCATCCGCAAAACAGATGGTCGGTCGGAAAGGACGATTCGGACACTCGAGGACATGTTACGAGCTTGTGTGATAGATTTTAAAGGCGGATGGGAAGAACAGTTACATTTAGTTGAATTCGCCTACAATAATAGTTATCAGCAAAGCATCAGAATGGCACCATTTGAAGCGTTATATGGCAGAGCATGCAGAACACCAGTTTGTTGGGATGAAGTTGGTGAAAGGAGAATTACGGGTCCGAATTGGTAGAACAATCGGTCGAGGCGATTAAGGTCATTCGGGAAAGACGAAAACTGCTCAAAGTCGTCGAAAAATTATGCGGATAAACGGCGTAGACCTTTGGAGTTTCAAGAAGGAGATCATGTTTTCCTCAAGGTATCACCAATGCGAGGAACATCTCGGTTTGGTAAGAAAGGGAAGTTAAGCCCGAGGTACGTAGGTCCGTTTGAAATATTGGAAAGAATTGGAATTTTAGCCTATCGACTTGCCTTGCCGCCGAATTTATCTCGATTCATAATGTATTCCACGTGTCCATGCTAAGGAAGTATGAACCGCATCCGACCCACGTGCTGAATTATGAAGAAATAGACGTGGATGACAAGGTGTCGTACGTGGAAAAGCCTATTCGGATAGAAGACAGAAAAGAACAAGTTCTACGGAATAAGACAATCCCGTTGGTCAAAGTAGTCTGGCAACATCATGGAACGGAAGGAGCCACGTGGGAAAGTGAAGAAATCATGAGACGTCAGCACCCCCATTTGTTTGAATAGTTTGGGTTTGGTTGTAAATTTCGAGGACGAAATTTTTGTAAGGGGGGAAGAATTGTGACATTCTGAATTTCGACCCACTTTCGGGATTTATGAAATGATATTATCATCAATGCACTTTCTGTTATATCTCACTCGGAATTGGCCATTCTTGAGAATACTAACCGTTAGGGAATGGCTAGTTAGGATTTTGATACGCACGACCCAAGAACTCGAACCTGGATCGATACTTCGACCATAAGAATTGACGAGGGGATATTTAGGACCATTTTAGGCAGATCCAAGAATGATTAAGGAACAATTTAACAATGTTATACAATTGAGTCACGGGTGATGCCGTTTAATCACTGTATGCATTCCAAACGTTCCAAAATCAATTTCTAACGATCGTGTCGTTCGGAACTAGTGATTGACCCTCGTAATTACATGACAACCGAAGTCACCATGGCTCGAGTAAACTTAAACGTGGATTGATATCAAATCAACCACGGGTCGACACGCGTAAACCCTAAAAGCCGCCCGTTAGTTTGAGATACACGAAAGTTGCGTTTGAGCGATTTTGACCACGAATTGGAATCCGAACTTGGGTATCGAACTTTCAAGGATATCAAAATTATTATATTGGACGACGCCGCATTAAGCTCGCTTTATTATCGGTTTGCTCAGAAATTCGCGAAAACGGGAAATTAGGCTCGGAAATTAGAAAAGACGATTTTACCCCTGTGTGTTCTAGAATTTATTTGTTGAGTGGAAGGACTTATTGGTATTTTTACCCTAGTGACCGAAAATCTTCATGGACAACTTTGCCCTTGCCTTTTTGGTTAATTACAAAAATGCCCTTCTAGAAGCCTTTTGTCAAGATGCATTTCTAGCCCTTAGATCAATACTTGGGCATCAAGGACTCATCCTAGCCCTCCATTTTGGTGAGATATGTTCAGATCACACACTCTCTCTCCTCACTTTTCCCTTGCTCTCTCTCTCTCTTCATTTTTCTCTCTCTCTTCCTCTCTCTTGGCCGAGACACTCCCCACCACCGTCCACCACCCATCAGCCCCTCACGCCACCACCTTGGACCACCGTGGACCACCGTGAGCCGCCCGCAAGCCGCCGTTCACACCCGGAGCAGCCGCCGTTCGCCGGATCGCCGTTTGGGCCGTCGCCGTTCTCCGGAGCTCTTGGCTTGGCCGGGACTGGTGCTGCTGGGTTTAGCTTGATTC